TGTTTAAAATTTTACTAATCTTAATTAATATTTTTGTTATCAAAATTCTTGTTAACTTTCTTTTTAGTTTATAACTTTTTGTTAAAAATATTTTTTTTAATAATCCTATTTAGTGTTATATCAAATATTCCTAATTTTTATTTCTTTAGAAAATAATCTTTTCACTTTTATTTTTTTGGAAAATATCTTTATTTTTATTTTAGAAATATCTTTTTTAGAAATGTCCTTTATTTTGTTTTATATTTTTTATATATTATTAGGTTTAGTTAATAAACAAATAGAAAATTTCAAAAAATACTTTTTCATTTAACTTTGGGAACTAATTCTTTGAATCTTGGATATTTAGAATTTATTTTTTATCATTTCGATTTTAACTAACTTTCTTGATTTCTAACTTTTGTGACCGGTAGCTTAAATTCCTTTATTTTGAGCTCGACTTTGATTCTAATTTTTTACTATTCTCTTGCTCTTTACCTTGTGATCGTTACCATCCATTTAATTCACACATTTTTTTTGTCATGTCATAATATTTCTCTTTTGTTTGATTCTATTTTGATGTTGCTTTTACGCTTAAAGCTTCATCCTTTGCTCATTATTGTTATTGGATACTCATTATAGATTTCCAAAGGAAAGGAACTTATGTTGACTTCTATGTCATATCTCTTTTAGGATAGCCTAGCCTTCCTACCTCACCTTATGGCCTTGTCAGAGCCTCCCCTTGGCCTTGTTAGAGCCATTGTCCTCTTAACCTAGCTTTAGGTTAGAGTTTGTTAACCTTGTGTAAGTACCATGGTTATGAGTACTTCTCCCACTCCTTTTGGTCTTGTTAGAGCCAATTGATCTTACAACTTAGGATTGGTGTAGAGTTTGTTAACTCTATGTGTGTACCATTGTCATGTATACTCACTTCCCCTTTGACTTTTGTTAAAGTCAATCCCTTTAGTTAGGTCTTTCAACTTAGACTTAGAAAGTTTATTAACTTTGTATAAGTGTCATTGTCATGAACACTTATTCCTCTTGGAGCCTTAACCACAGTCAAGAGTTCCTCGGTCCTAGTTAGGTGAACTATGATTCTCTGATTCCATCCTAGTCAGGATACGTAGGCACGAGATGCGATGTCTTGGCGAGCATACTTAGTGTATATACTATAGGTCTTTACCTTAGAACTTTTCCTTAGCAATCAAACAATAACATAACAAAAATATTAACAAGAGGTTCATGTAGAGTACTATAGATACTTAGGATGCTAACACCTTCCTTACGTATAACCAACCCCCGAACCTTAGGTCTCTTAGCTTTGTTTTTACGTAGCGCGCTTAGGATTTTCTTCGATCTTTACCCTTTCCTTTGGATAAATCAAAACTCGATGGTGAATTTCAAATATTTGTGATTCAAGTAAATTAATAGCTTGATATCTGATTTTCACTGAAACGCTCATGGATTGATGTGATGCATATTTATGGACTGTTTTTGAGTTGTTTCATCATACTTGATAGCATGCTTGTGATTCTCCGACACGCGACTTGTGATTTTCAATAATACATGTCTTTTGATTGTTGTGTTGCATTATTGATGTGATGATCATGTTGCATAATCATTTGTACCATGCCAGTTACTGGTTATTAATGCTTATCTTGTTGGGTGTATATCACATGCTTATGTTTGTTTCTGATTCCGCAAACGCATAATTGTTTGAATGACTAATTGTGCTGGATATGCATGATATTCTCGATGAATGATTAGTGGTGATTCAAACTTGCTTGTGTTTAATTGTTGATACATGTTCATGATTGATCTTCACCATATCATATGCATTTGTTGAAATGTTAATATATGCATGCTGCCTGAGCTTTTACACCTGTTGTTCTGGATTTTAGTATGCTATCAATTGTGAATCCACTCTGCCTGCTGCATTTTACACCTGTTGTGTGTTGAAACATGAGCTGTTAAATGCAGTTGTACTAATGTTGCCAATACACGCTTGGTTTCGAACTTAGTGTTGGAAACAACACCTCACCCTAAGCCTTACAAACTTTAATGGCTTAGTGAAAATGTTGAAATGCTTGTTAACAAACAAGTATAAATGTGTTTAAAAATTTGAATATATGAAGATTATATTTTAAGTGATGTATTGCTAATGAAAGCTTGCCACTTGTTACTTGATAGGCCATGGAAATTTGATATAAGAGTGATGCATGATGGTCGTACCAACAAGTACTCTTTTATGTATTATGGCCAAAAAGTCATTGTTGCACCATTGAATCTTAGTGAGGTGAGAGATGATCAAAAGAAATTGAAAGAAAAATATGAGCAAGAATTAAAGAAGTTTGACCAAAAAAATGAGTGTTGAAAAATAAAAGTTTAATTGCCAAAAAAGGAGAAATTAAAGAGTAAAGATAGCAAGAAAAACGGAAAAGCTTCAGCAAGTCAAAGAAGAAGGAGCAAAGGAGAAAATTTTATTTAATGCATTGTCTCCTCTTTGAATCTATTGTCTCCAACAAATAATTCCCACCATTCAAATCTACAATAATTAGTCACCCGTCAATTAATGTTTATTTTATAACCTATGTAGTGATTAAGTTTGCATTGGATGCTTTTGCCCTTTACCTTTACAATTTTTCATTTTTTTTCTTGTACTTGTTGTCTTCTACGTGTAAAGCAAGATAAGTATTCTATGTACAAGCTCATATATTTGACAGAAATTCAAAAAATAAAGTAAGTTGAATTTTAGTAAAATAATTTTTTTAAAATAAAATAATATATTATTATCAAAAACACTATACGACAATCGCCGATCTTAACGATCCTAACAGCCAAAAGACAAAAACAACCAACAACACAATAAGTCTAAAAAGCAGGCCCTAGTACAAAAATAAACTAGTTTACGATCCATTTCAACTCTACCAAGTATCATGTCTATTACATGCTTACTGCTATATAAAGCTCCTTTATCACAATCTTGAAAGATGATTTTGTTTCTCACTGTCCACACATGGTAGAGCGCCTTAGCAAACGTCATTTTCAATATCTTTGTTCTGCTACCTTTTCCATGGGTGTGTTGAGTGATCCACTCCATCTCATGTTCCCAGCCACCCGTGTTGTGTTGAATATCAAGCCAAGCTAGAACTTGTTCCCACATAACTTTAGAATTTGCACATTCAAAGGACAAGTGGCCATAACTTTCTTGCAAGTTACAAAACACGCACAAGCCATCAGAATTAATGCCAAATCTTAGCATATGATCCTTAGTAAGCAGTCGTCTATTGCAGGCCATCCATAATGTGAAGATAGCTCTAGGTCTCGCGATGTTATTAAAGAAAAGTTTCCTCCATAATACTTTGGGTTTGGTCCCTCGAAGCATAACATACATTCTCTTAGTATTATATCTACCAGCATCTTGGAACTCTTTCTAAGTATCGAATTAATCATCAAGTTTTTATTTTTGAAAATATTTCTTTTTGAGAATAGCGAGTTAAACTCATCTTTGATTTTGGATTAAACCAACATTGATTTTATCAAGTTTTCACAATTCTTGTAGTGATCATCCTTCCATAAGACTTATTTTCTTAGGATTTGAAGAGTGATGTCTCTCTTGTCTTTAACTTTCATCCATTTCCTCTTTTATTACCTTAATACAAAATTCACCAATACTTCAATTTACATTTAAAAATTAAAAAATCATTTATTATTCTTTTTAAAATATAAATATATTTACATTTAAAAATTAAAAAATCATTTATTATTCTTTTTAAAATATAAATATACGGAGACTTTCACGAAATGAAAACGGACGGCATTATTGTATTGTATGCTCGACATTGGTAAGTATCTCTAAGAGAATCACAAGAGCTCATAGTAAAGAAAAGCCTTAAATCCAACCTTAATCAAAATGACGCAAAAATCCTAATTTAGAAATCATCATTATAATTAATAAAAATATTTTAATAAATAATTTTTTTAAAATGAAAGACTAGTTTATAAAAAAATTGTTCCAAGAATATCATTTGTTAATTCTCAATTTATCTTTAGTTACACTTTTTTTTCAATTGTAACCCTCTAATTAATGATATTTGCATCATTCAACGTTCATTTTTCTTTTGTTCTATTAACCTAGTAGCAAGAACCTCACTTTTTAAAATCGCTATTAAATTATCAAATGAACTAACCTAACAAAATTCAATATGGTAAACTTTCTACTTATGGTAAAAAAAATCTTGGTTGATGATATATAACATTTCTAAGAATTTCTTTGCGAAAACGAGATCAACAAAAAATATTCCAAGGATTAAAAATAATTCTTATTAACAAATACCCTAGGTTATACTACTAAGAATATTTTTAAATAAAAACAACCATATCACATCATTATATATACAATCGATCGCAATTTTTTATTAATTAAAAAATAAAAATAAAATCTTCTCTCTTTTATTTATATCACAACCACCCTATAATTTCAATTATAAATAAATAAATTTTATATAAATTTAAAATTTTCCTCTCTTATTAAATATTTCTAATAATATAGATTAGGTTAAATATTTCTAAAAATATAAATTAGGTGCGTTTCCATATATTTCTTTTAAGAAATTAAACCTCAATCATTATTATAGATTAATACATATTACTAGAAGAAAGCTTAATGTTAACTTTAGCAAAATATTAACAAAAAAATAAAAGAAATACACACTACATAGCATAAATAAGTGATTCCATATACTCTCAACAACATTCAGATTGCAGGACTATCACCTTCCATGCTCAAAAACTTACTCAAAGGTGCATCTAAATAAATGAGGTTCAGGTTCAGGTGTACTTGTTGAATAGCTACAAATTAGAAATTTGTCTTTGGTTTATTGATTTCGCACCCTGAACCAACCAAGACGTTAAGAGCTCCAAATTGAAGGACAAAAGGTTCATTGGAAAAGTGACAACCCTACCACTAAACTTATTGCCTCCACCACCAGATAAACAACCAATCAATCACAAAATAACCAGGTCTAAGGCTTCAAGGCCACAGCAAGACCAACCTTTGCACTCTTGTCAATGGCTGCAGTATCTACTTCCCCAACTAGAGAAAAACGTGCTTTGGGACTCCAGTCATGCTGGATCAGAGCACTTGCCCTGCCATAGTTGTTCACCCGAGCTTTCAACAAGGTTATTGGGTCTAGAGCATGTTGTGTGCCAATGGTGAGTATATTCTCATTGCTGGAAAAGCTATGTGAAAACTCTGCCCCAACAGCAGTGTTAGTCAGTGGGTTCACAACATGGTAATACGAGGCATTAAGGGTGTCACCTCTATCATTGCTACATTCATCAACAAAACAAAAAAAACAGAACAAATAAATCAGAAAATCAATTCACATTGTACAAAAGCATAGATAACACTCCATGAAATTGGTGTGTGTGTAGCCTTTAAACAATTACTTACAGAGTTAGAGACGCGATAAGGTCAGCATGAGTAACATTCAACCCTGCATTGTACTTGATAAAGTCGCCAGTGGCAGTATCAAAAGAAACATCTGACCCAACAGAAACCAAATTATTTCCAAGCACACCAGAGATGTTAACAACAGGACTTGCTGTTAACCCAATACTAGTATTGATCCCAGCATAATCATGCTGGTATTGTAGTTCCACCTGTTAAACTCAAAAGAAAGAGAGTAAAAAATCATACTCCAAAGATAACTGGGAAGTATCGCCAATTCAATTTTGGCATTTAGTAAGTACAATAAAACTTAAAATAAATATAATACTCCCTCCAATCCGATCTTAAATTAATGCAACATTTTGCTTGTATTAAAGATTGAGGGAAATACCGTACGAGATAGAAGGGAAGACATATTTTGCTTGTATTAAAGATTGAGGGAAATACCGTACGAGATAGAACAAAGGATAAGACAGATAGAACATTTTGTTACCTTGCCAGATTTTTGATCTGGTAGAGTGAAGCTAAAAATTGTCTTGAGACCAGGTGCAGCTTCATCCACAGTAATGGTTGTGAGTAGCTGAACAGTATTCGATTAAACATAAGACACATAGCGTGAAGTCTAATTAGACATCAGATACCTTCAATTCAACCATATCATAATTATGAATGCAATAGTTAAAGAATATGAAGGATGTTGAAACTCTTAATGACAATATCATGGAAGACAATTTTACTGCAGAAATGGTCAAGCACTGTCACAGAAAATAACTCTCTAAATCAATAAAAAGAGTTGCAGAACCTAAAAACAAAGCAATAAATGGATTGTATATATCACAGTCAAGGGACCTAGGCAAAAACATTCGTTCCATCTTAAAGTTTTTTAAAAATTACTTACATTAGAATACAACGACAACCAAGCCTTATCCAATTAAGTGGAATCGGCTACATGGAATCGGCTACATGAAACAGCTACATAGATCGACTTTCGCCATAATGTTCTATACATGATTATGTTTCTATCCAAATTGTTAATTTCAAGATCTTTTTTAATAACTTCTCTTTTAATTTCTAGGTCTACCTCTACCTCTAGTTGTTAGACTTCTTTCAATCTGATCTACTCTCCTTACCATAGAATCTACTACTCTTCTCTCTATATGTCCAAACCACCTAAGTCTATTCACATCATAATCAAGCAAGTCAAATGAAAACAATGCAACTATTAATTTTACAGTTGCAAAATATCCAGCTAAGCGCTTAGAGTAAACTTATATCAGCAAGAAAATTCGACTCACATTTGAATTAGTGTCAACTTTGACATCAGTAGTGATGTTATTGTTCTTCAACTTGGTACTAACATCAGCCAAAAAAATCTCACCTTTCCTGACTCCACTTGAAGTAACTTCCTGAGTAAAAAAAAAAACCCATTGAAACTATCACAACACTGAGAACTCAGCTTTAAACAATAAACTAAAGAAACAAAAACACAAGCTAACTACCAATAATCCCAACTACAGTAAAATCTAGAAACTTCAACAACTTAACTTGAATCATTTTGAAACATATTCATCATAATTACTTCAAAATGACCAAATTCTAAGAAAATCACAAAAAAAAAAAAATTAAATGATCAAATTCTAAGAAAACAAAACAATAAAAATATACCAATCCAGTAAAAGTCTTAGTGGTGATTGTGAACTTGTGGTCATTCTGATAATCTTTGAACAAAAGATCTGAAATTGAAATTCACGATGTGAGTTAAAGATTCAGAGAGAATAATGATACATAGAAGAATGAATCCGTTACCTCGGGCTCTTTTGCCGATATCGGAGTAAAGTCCGGGACCGTTCACCATGATTTTTTGCCGAGAAAGTGAAGCGGAAAATGCGAGAAAATGTATGAAAATGGTGTGGGTAGTGAAAAAGACAAACCCTAATAATGGGGAGGGAGAGGATAGAATGTGGCCGTTAGATGGGAAAATTGAATCGTGGCCGTTGATATAGAAGGAAGGATGATGCCTTGGTAATAGAGACGAGAGTGAGTTGGTGGAATATTCGCCCTTGGATTTATATTCTGTTTCTTATTGTGATGATGAGTTGTTCGTTAACGTGTAAACTAGAGGTACATGCGTTTGGTTTGTGGATTTAGCAATGAGAAAATTAAAAAACTTAATTTGTATCTACTACAAAGTTTAATGATGGGCTATTCGGGAAAGGATTTGGATCTTCTCCTTTTTTTTAATATATCATGTCATCTCTCATGTTTTTAATCTAATGGTTCAGAATTTATAATAAATAATTAAATAAAAAAAGTCATTTAAATGATTCACGTAAATAGACAAATTACTTATCCATTTATCTCTTCTATTAAATAACTTTTTTTATTTAATTATTCATTATAAATTCTGAACCGTTAGATTAGAAACATGAGAGATGACATGATATATAAAAAAGGAGAGGATCCAAATCTTTCTGGAAAAGTCACCTATCCCTTGTTTAAAAAGCTTATAAGTCTTTAATATATAGGTATTACTAGTAGAAGACGTGTGCGTCCGCACGGGTATGAGAAAAAATATAATCTTATCGAATTCAAATTTTATAAGAAAAAGTATACTCAAATGTATATTAAGAGTAATATTTATGCATGTTTTTATTTGTTTGAGTCTAATGATTGTATCTCGTGTAACTTTATGAAGTAGTTCAATAACATTTTAAATATTACAGTGAAAAAATTGAAATACATAATCAAGATTTTAGACTTTTTTATTTTTAGAGTAATATTTATACATGATTCATTTTTTAGAGCAATAGAGTAACATACAATTTTATCATAAGCTTGTATGGAATAAAAAGATCAAATACATCAAATTTTGAGTTATTTGACAATATTAACAAACCCCATATGATGAATCTCTTGTTTTTTTTTGCTCCAGACATAAAACCGTTACATTTTATTAGGCTAAATATTATTTATAATTCAAAGATATAAGCTTAAAAAAACAATAGTAGCCTTTGTTTATTATCAATCTATATCAGAATCAATTTGTATATACATGACAGTGTCTTAGACATATATTGAACTAATACTGAATTATGAGAATGTTAGTTATTACTCAAAATTCTCAAAACCTTCATCAAAAAAGCTCAAGAATTCACTGTTAGGATGATCCATGCACTATATATATTCATACATTCCCGACAATGATATATTTAACAAATATTGTATATTTAACAAATATTGTTAATGTTCCATAATAAAAACATATAAATAAAGAAAAATATAACAAATGTTGATATGATATTAAATTATTTAGACATAGATGTAAATTTAAAATAAATTACTTAATTGTAAAATGATTAATGGTCATATAAAATCAATTGTATTAAATAAACATTTGAAAAGATAAAAATAAGACATGTCTAATGAAGAAAAAAAACAAAAAATTGATATTTAAAAATAAATATTTTATATCTCAAATAAGTGTAATTGTTAATTAAAATACCATATATAAATGTCAAGTTTAGCTTAAAATTTATTTGATAGATAGCACGAATAAATTTATTTGATACAATATAAATTGCATTTAAATGGGCATGTAAATTTTAAATAAATTATTTAATTATAAAATAAAAGTTGATCATATAAATTTAAGTGTATTCAATAACAATATAAAAAATAACATGTGAAAAGGAGAAATACAAATAAAAGTTAATTTTTTAAATTTAAAAATAAAAAATTTATCTCTCAAATAAAAACAGATATTAATTAAAATGAATATGTTATATAATGATAGTGACTCGTGCAATAAAAAAATTTATTATCATATATTTATGTGTATCTTAACCATCATGATGTTGTTTATTTATACTATTTTTGAATAGTCACAAAATAAATTTTCTAAAATTTGAAAAAGTAATATTTAGAAAAAATGATTTCTTAAAGAATTTTGTAACTTAACATTTATTATATATATAATTATACAATAAATATTTATTAAAGCAAATTATATGTTCATCTTTGATAAATAATCATTTTTAATTAAGTAGTTAATAAAGATAATTTTTAAAATAATTGATCAATAAAATAAAAAGTTACTTTTAATTTTTAAAAACAATATTGAGAAATTTTTTTTTAATATATCATTTGCATGCAACTTTGTATTCATGTCTTAAAAAAACATAAAACTTTTTAGCCATATTCTTTAATTATTATTTAAAATTAAAATGTAGTTTCTCGATAAAAGATTGATAAAAATAACTTTTTAAAGCTCTAATTATTATCTATATTTAATTTAATGCATTATAACTTCATCTTAATTCTTAGTAAAAGATTGATAAAAAATTTACAATATCATTTTATTAAATGAATTAAATTTGATTATAATTGTATGTTGTTGTTGCTGCTCACCGATACCAACACCGATCCCTTGGGTTCATTTAAATTTGATATAAATGAATTAAATGACACTTCCAAACTGAGAGAGATGACTGAGATATTGTTTGCTGATATCAAAAGTACCCTAATTCCAAGGTTTTATTATCACCAGTTATGCATTTATTTTTAACCATTTGGAGTACATCCGAAAGCTGAAGATACCTGAATTTTTCAAATTAATTAGTTAGGAAGCTATAATTGTGTTTACTTTAGAGAAATTCATATAAGCAATTTAACAGTCAAATGAACAACGGATTATAGCAGCAACAGAAAAACCACAGTACAAATATGGTATTGCAGCCTATAGAAGAAACGTAATGCATATAACAGGTGTCGCAGCCTATAGAAGATGGCACACAATCTCCCATGTCATAATGCCATGGCACTCCATGGTGACAATTCAACAACACTGAAACTTAGAAGCCAAAATCATAATCTCTGAAATTATCACTATAGCAAAACAATTCATTTCAGACGGTGTTGTCAAATAGCTGTTATAGCCTATAAAATAGCAGAATTTGGACAAAGACATATTAAATAGAAGTTGTTATTGTATCTCCGTCAAATATTTGTTGCAAATCTTCAATATAATTCATCTTGTATACACAAATTCATAGGGAAGTCAATATATTTCTTTGGAAAATTAATCATCATTTGGAAACTCAGTAACACATGTTATCTTATCACGCAGAAGAAAAATCCAGAACCAGACAAAAAATTTAAAAGGTAAGAAGTATTTGAATACAACTTATATACCTTATGAGACCTCAGTGTTCTTGGATTTCCTTCAGCAAGAATGTTCAGGACATATATTTTTGCAGCTCGTAAACTCGCAATAGCTCCAATGTGTCTTACACAATTTATGGCCATTGTCTATTCACAAAATCTTAATATATATGTATCACTATCACGCCAAAAAGAGAATGTGAACTTCTAAAAGTATATGTAGGCATTGGAGGCTGAAACTTAATTCGAGTTTGGGAGGCTGAAACTTAATTCGAGTTTGGCTTAATTCGTGTTAGCTACTATTCGGACCTGGATATTGCAAGTCTGGCTTAATTCGTGTTGGCTACAGTTCGGACCTGGATATTGTGAGTAGAGCGCAACCTCCAAATGGGTTGCCTTCCACTTTGTACAAGGGCTACTTCTTCTCCTTCTTTAACCATTCCATTCTTCTGCATACAAAAACAATACGTGAGATCACAGAAAATTAAAATGGAACTTTTTGTTTGAGCAGTTGACGTTTTAATAGGTAATTGCAATGTTAAGCATTTGTTTGTACCAGTAGTAAGAAGTTCAAAAATGCGTAAAGGTTAATAGTTAAGTATTGCATGCACGAATAAATCGATACATGGTTGAATGTTTGAATGTAAACTGTATCAGCAAGTAAGGAGTAGAATTACTATATAGGTAACATTTCAAACACCAAATATATCCACCAAAAATTACCTGCAACAAATCCAAGGCTTTTGTGAATGTCTCTTCAAAATCCTCAGAGAATTGCATGTAAATAGGACAAACTCCTTGATACAAAGCCAGCCTTTGTTGTACTCTTTTCCTGCATGGCCGTGAGAATTAGGTAAACCACAAATTTGTCAGTTATAAATTATAATAAGTGGGGACAAACGACGTAAAATAAAGGGTACAACAAAGGCTGACTTTGTGAGAACACTATTACATTGAAGACGGACTTTGATTTTTTCTACACTCAAAAATGCAACATCAGTGTCTAGTGGTTCACCATTGCCTATAATATAAGTTTGTTATTCTTCAATCTTGATCTTCTAATCTTTACAATCTAGGGGGCGAGTTATAATGTGGATCTAGTCACCCTTTAATTTCTTATAAGAATGGAGTCATAATTGATTAGATGAAAAAAGAAACACAATTTGACAAAATAGTATATTTGAATGTAATAAACAAATAGAATGTAAAAAGATAATAATGTAAAACAAACAATGTAACAGTGTTCTCACACATGGACATTTTCACCACTGATTTTAGTAACTTCACCACCAATCCATGCTAGTGTTAGATCTTCAACCCAGACATGAGAACTAACAATAATATTCACTGGTGTAAACTGTAATGCCCATTTTAATTATCTCATTTTTCTCTGTATTTTCTTTGTAGTGTGCCTTCTGTGTTAGGGGTGTGGTTGAATGCGATAGCGTGTAGCCCTTAAGTTGGCGATTAATTGGTAATTTTGGACGTTAAGGTTAATAATAAAATTATTAATGATAATGATGATTTAATGAATAATAGTAATATTGTTAATATTATTATTATTATTATTATTATTATTATTATGATTATTATTAAAATGGAGATAAGAATTGGAATAAGAAAATAGGAATAAGAGGAAATTGGATTAAGGGGCTATTTGGGGATTTTGGAAAGGAAAGAGGAAGGAGAAAGAAG